TTGTCAACAATGTGACAAACTGAACTGAAGCCATTTTTCATTTTGTCTTGGTTGCCACATTTTAGTTTAGAGATTTTAGAATGAAGGAGGGGAAGGGGGGGTGTTAAGTTTCTCAGTTAGCCATAACAATACTTCTGTGTGAGAACCAAAGTCAGTGCTGATAAGAGTTTTGGCGGGCTGAAAAGCTGGGAGGAGAGCCCGCGTTTTGAAATAATTGGTGAATGTGATTTTTGAAAGCAATTTGGGGTGGGAATTGCAACTTGTTACTTTGTAGCTTGAGGGAGGGGATTTTAGTCTTGGGTTCATCTTTGTATGTGCCGATGTCGTTTCCTAAATAAAATGTTCTTTAAGGAAGAAATCCTTGCCTTGAAGTTCTTTTAAATGGTTTCATCTATTGGAACCATGACACATTTGAGATATTGACTAAAACCTCCCTACAGAGAAATGTTAAACTTTTCTCTATAGGAAGCATATGCCTGTGATCAGAAGCAGCTACAGAGAAGGCCCAATTGAATCAGTGTTACTATAAAGAGAAACAATTCTACTGATTAGATGGGCTAAAAGATGCCTTATGTTTTCAGCTTTGAAGAATAGGTTTAGCTGTGTCAAAGTGTTTAAGGTGCGTGACTCTTTTATCCTTTGACCTTACTTCGGTAATTCAAAGTTGGCGTGCTCACGTTAATGTATTATAAATTGTGGGTTATGTCAAAGTCACTGTGGGATTTAATGAACGGTTGAATCCCGTCTACTAAAGGTAAAAGAAAGAGGAGAGGGTTCCTTTCATTTTGATTCCGTCTTCACCCCCAATCTGTCCCCACCCTAATTCCCAGTTCGCACCACTTCAGCAGAACCGGTAGCTAATTTTTTGTTGCCCAGGCCTAGAATGGACTTCCGGAAGCGGCATCCACACAGAGAACCAGTTGTTCACATATTTGAATCCCACCACTGGGGTTAGAGGTATATAATACAAAAGTCATCACTACTAAACAGGTGGGAATGAGCAGAGGCATTTCTCAAGATTGAGCACGCACTTTCTGTCAAAAGCATATGTCCTGTGATTGACTTGCATTGTTAAATTTAACTCCTGGAAAGGAGGCTGTTAAGATAAGCTAGCTCTTCCTATTTGCCCTTGAAAACTGTGAGAAAACAAACTTCCATCTTTAATCCCAATCAGATCTCTTTTTTCTTCCATTTGTGGTAGCAGGCACCTAGTGCCTATTAGACACTTAATCCTCATAAATATTTTTTTTTTTTCAATATAGAATTTTTATTATTTTTCATCATAAAAAAAAACATCACAAATGTTACACAATGCTATAGGAAAAAACCCCCACCCCCCACCCCCCCGGACTTCCCAAACCTAATCCCAGGATAATATTCAGATATAAGTAAACAAATATTAGTATCTCTAACTCCACAAAGTATATTATTCTACATGAGTAGGTAAAATATATAAAAGAAAAAAAAGAAAAATTTTTCTAAAAACCTAAATTATATTCCACCACTCTATGCTTCTTTTGAATATAAACAATCCTCATAAATATTTAACCTTCCTTTGCTGATGCCTAAACTGAACAACTCTGGGAGTAGAGGAGGTAAGAGAAGCTGCGAGGCTACAAAACTTGTCCAGCCGTTTTGTGAGTTGCATTCTGGAGACCAGAGTGGAAGAAGAGCTCCTGATGCTGTAAGTATTTAATGGGGACAGTTTGAATACTGCAAATATGATGCTGTTTGGTTTGATCCTGGCACCTCTTTTATTCTCCTCCTGCTTCGGCATCCATCCTGCACATTCCATATTAGCTGGCAATACAAAATCTCAGAAAACAGCATATGAATTCAGAAAACATCCAGCCACTCCAGAGATAATCAGAACTTTGCTTTCTGGTTATTCCTGTATAAGCCTGACCCTTGTATTCAGTCAGCTTGAAGCTGGATGAGGGCAGATGAAGAAGTCAGTGGTAGGGAGGCCTCAAGTCCCCTTCCACTGGAGATCTGTGAGGGAGCCAGTGAGGTGTTGTGGTTAGTGTGTTGGACTGCAATAGTGGGAAATCCAGGTTCAAATCTTTCCTCAGCCATGAAGCTTCCAGAATGACTTTGGGCCAGTCACTATCTCTCCATTTACTACAGCATTTAGGATGGGGGAAGAAAACCATGGTTATATTGAATCTAGATGGCTCTCTATCAGGAAAATTGAAGCAAAAAAGGAGTCATATCTTGCAAAACTCTCCACAGTAACTGGATGGCAGGAAATAGAAATAGGTGCCATCTAGTGGTCTATATTTTTTTGCACCCCAGGTGCTCTTATAAATAGTTTTTATTAATAATATTAATAATTAATATTAAATTATTGATAAATTTAATAGTATTACATTTATTAAATTTGTTCCCCCCCACAACTTGCCACAAGGCGACATAGTTATCTCTAGATGTGATACATGATCTTTGGAAGTCCATCCAACTCTATGATGCTATGAAAAGAGAAACTTCTGTCCCCAGAGAGCTTAATACTATCCAGACCGGATAATACTTGTCTGTAGTACAGATAACATATCCATTTTGCTTTCTATATATTTTAAAAAAAATTTAAAAAAAAAAGTTATGTTCGTTAGTTCAAATAATATACTATTTGCATCCAGTTTTCTCAGTGTATTGAATTGTATGTAATCGTTTTAAAATATGCAATTGGAGATGTCACTTCTAGTTCATATCTTATCTCAGGAAGTGTAAGTTAGATCAGTTCATATTAAAATGCAGTCCAAGTATTTCCTCCTTTAGTCTATAGGAATGCTGTAGGAAATTCAATTCTCCTTTTAATTTCTCCTCACGTGCATACCAATAATTTACTGGATGCAGTTGCCCATCTCCACCAGTTTCCCACATATTTCATTAAATATTCTCTAATTTAAATCAATGTCACTTCTGAAAACAATGAATTTGAGCCAAAACACGACTATTAAAAATGCTGACGTTATTTTGATACACCAATTTGAAATCTTTGCATGATTGTGTGCATGTCTAGATTCAGGACACAGGGAATCAACTGGCAATAACTAAATAATCAGATTGGTATTCATTTCCATCTGTAAGGCTTAACAGATGAATTGACTCATCAGCTTGACATAAAATGATTAAATCAAATCCTCATGATGGTTATGCAATTTTGTAGGATAAGACAGCTGTTGAAAAAGCTGTTAAAAATTCAGGATTTTTGCAGTTGTTAAACTGCATCTCACAAGTGCGTCTGTTGTAACAAATCTCTTTACCCTCCCACTACTTAGTTCTAAGGTTTCCCCAATCCTAAAGCAAGTTTACTTTTATCTTCTCAAAACAGAAGGTTGCTATATGTGCCTGTGCACATGTCATTAATGCACTTTGCTGCTCTCTAATGGACATAATGGACACTGTATTCATTGTGGGTCTTCTATATTTCAACATGCTTCCATTCCCTTTTTCCTCCCCTCCCCTCTTATCCTCCTTTGTCCCTTTCCTTACTGCTTAGAAGAGAGATCTCAAGGCTGTACAAGATAGCCCCGTGGAAATGTCAATCCCGTGGGTGGCTGCGGTAGAAAATGTTATACAGCTTGCCCTCGTCTTAGCAACAGTTTGTTTAGTGACTGTTCAAAGTTACAACGGCACTGAAAAAAAGTGACTTATGATAGTTTTGCACACTCACCACCATTGCAGCATGCCCATAGTCACGTGATCAAAATTCAGACACCTGGCAACTGGTTCATATTTACGACCGTTGCAGTGTCCCGGGGTCATGTGATCACCTTGTGCGACCTTCTGGTGAGCAAAGTCAATGGGTAAGCCAGATTCACTTAACACCTGTGTTACTAACTTAACAAATGGAGTGATTCACTTAACAACTGTGGCAAGAAAGGTTGTAAAATGGGGCAAAACTCACTTAACCACTGTTTTGCTTAGCAACAGAAATTTTGGGCTCAATTGTGGTCATAAGTCGAGAACTACCTGTATTCCAATTATGGATCATTAGGAAAGAGAGAATATTAAGGAATCAATTATATATAACACTTTATATAATGTTTAAGGCACAATACTTTACCAGACCGTGTTCAGTCTAATCACTGTCTCAAAAATGACTTCATAGACCTATAGAAGCTTCTAGAAAGGTCTACTAAAATTATCCAAGTTAAATGAGGTACGACAGATAGTAGGAAAAGCTGGATACTACAGTTTGAATTATGCAGTGAAGATGAATTTTCAATTTAAGACTGCTAAAAGGAAGCCCTTTATACTTAGCAAATAGCTAGTCTATGGAATTCTCTACCACAAGATGTAATGGCAGCTGCCAACTTGGAAAAGTTTAAAAAAATTAGACAAATTCATGGTGAACAATCCTGTTTATGGCACCATAGTTTAGCTTTATTTTCAAAGACAGCATGTTTCCCAAAGCAGTTGTTGAAGAATACAAGTGAGAAGGGGGATGTCTTGCTTGAGGTCCCATCAGCATCTAAAACAGCACATTAAACCAGATAAAACTCATCAGCTCTTTTAAAATTAAAACAAAGCTAATGACAGACTCTGCCATATATTTTCCAGCTGTAAGCTCTCCTATAATTATTTTCACATGCCCCTTTCTCCAGTATATTTAGCAAACATAAAAGTATAAACTATGACCATCATTTTTCTCAATATATCAAGAGAGACAAAGCAACACACACAGAGAATTATGGCACGGATTATTTCCTATCAGTTCACATCAGTATATTTTATGGTAACTGTTTTCACCTCAGTAAAAAAATCATAGGAATCTTTAGCTCCCTCTCTACCTATCCCACTCCGAAAGTAAGGGGGTTTCCCGTTTAAGTCTAGAGACTATTCGGTTGTTAACCAGGTGTGGTTAGGTCTGACCTCAGAAAATCGTTGAGCTACATAGGCCGGGTGTAACAAACTGGTCTGACACCGACGGTCCGGTATAAACTGAGGTAACCGAGAGGATTAGTGAAGGAGAAGACACAGTTTGTGGTAATGTGTTCCTACAGGACCAAAAATCTCATCCTGAATGCAGCAAGAATTATCATCAATTTCTGTGATAACTGTGGGAGGCAAGAAATAGCCTTTCTGGTTTCTTGGAGAAAGATCCAGTGAGTCTATTCCTTCTCCACAGAGGATCTTGGCCCCTTCTGCCCGAGCCTGCTGGATATACTTCTTCACCTAATGGGAGCAGCAACAAAAGAGGAAGCATATTTAGAGAATTCAGTAATTTCTAATAACAATAAGGAAATAAAAGACCAATGCATATGAATACACACTCTCACACCTACATATTTACTATATAACATCTATACCTAGACATATTGTATGAGTTAGTTAAGCTCCTGTGTTTCACATGATATTTTAAAAAAACATTAGCTTCTTAAAAGCTGATTTGCTTTAATTCATTTATTTAAACATACATTCCATCTTATAACAGGAAAATGCCAATGCAATTTTATCATTGGAACATTGTGTGATTATTTCATGCAGCATTATTAATTAAACCTTCAATACTGTATTACATTAAGAAAGGTATAAAAATCTTAGACACTTCAACATCTGAAGCTCTGGAAGAAGAATCTGAAATGTGTTCTTCAATTCTGCTGACAATATATTTGAGAAGCAAGTTGGTAAGAGGAAATATCAGATTCTCTCCATCTGTGTGCACCCATCAGTGGATCTGACTTCACTAGGGAGATGTTTCAGCTAGTCATATTGCTACTTACAAGTGTGCACAATAAAAAACACACAGGCAAACCTGACAACTGGCAAAATTACATAATGGTAAACAATTTTGATAGGGAAGCTTTAGCAAATACTCTGAGCCTGAAACATCTTAAAACAAGTGTTTCAACAAGTGTTTAAAAGAAGACCTATTCTTTGTCTAAAAAACCACTCTGAATTTACCAAGATATAATAAAATCTCTATCACAATATATTGCAGTACTTTCTCTAAGGAGGACGAAACATATCTGCAGCTAACTTAGCAAATTTAAAGCTATTTCCAACGTTGTTTACCTTTGCTAAATGATCTTTACTTATCAATGCTCCCATATCAGTTGTGGGATCTGAAGGATTTCCAACTTTCCATTTTCTAACAGCTTCCACAAACCTTCTCAAGAATTCTTTAGAAATACTTTTCTGAACAAAGATTCTGCTGGTACATAAGCATATTTCACCCTGACAAGATTGAACAATGTGCAGAAAAGGGAGAAAGTCAATAAGGAGTCATTATTTCATTGAAGCAGTTTTTAGGTTCTTTAAAGGTGTATCAGAATCAGAGTGAAACTCTGTCTAATTTACAGAAGGAAGAATTTGCTTTCGAGATTTCAGTAAGAGCAGTAAATTAACAAGCTTTAAGATTTACAATTATGCCATAAATACCAGCAAGCTGTTATATAGTTTGTTGTTAGCATCCCTATCCATTTTTACCAAATGACAAGTCAAATTTGGGGGGAAAGAAATTGTTGGAGCATGACACTTTACTCCTTCTAGGACTACTGCTTTCATTTCCAACAGGCAAAAGGGAAGATCATATTTTATCTTGGGTATTTCCAAGGAAGAGTGGGCAGGCTATAGAAAGACTAACTATCTCCCCTCCTGGTACCCAGTCCAGGATGTGAGCAGCCCCAAGACACAGCACCAAAAGACATGGGCAACCCATTGTAGGAAAGTAAGTCAGTGGAGAATTATCTTATGTTGGATCTTATATGCTGGATCTTTTGAGGTGTTCTGTGTAGAACAGTAGCAAGAGAACTCTTTAGAGTGGCAAACTGTGAGGATATGAACCAGAAAGAGTTATTCCAAAATGAATTGTGATAGAAAAAGGGTGCTCACTTATCCATCATTATCAAGGAATATCAAAACACTCACTTGCCATATGCTAAATAAATAAGCATTAACTGAGAGAGGATGCCCTGTTAAGTCAGATTTTTTTTAATTCTCTTTTTCAGAATGTTATCATTATTTATTGCAATTTATTAGCTGCCCAATTCCAGTAAGTAAAAAAAATGAATTATCTGATTCAGAATAATATACTCAGTCTTTATATTAGAGTCTGTTATGAGGACCCACAGTTTCTCAAACTTCAGAAGCAAAGCTCGCGTTAGCAAAGGGATGAGCAAGCAACTATCAGTTTATACCTGGTTAGCAAAACTGGATTTTACAGTGGCAGGAATACATTGATCCAAGTTGGCATCCTCAAAAATGATAGCTGGATTTTTGCCTCCTAGCTCCAAGGAAAGCTTCTTACAGTACAAAGCAGACCTCTGGATGATTTGCTGGCCAGTGAGTGTGCTCCCAGTGAAGGAAATCAGAGATACCGCCGGATGGGAAACAAGCGCATCTCCAGCTTTGGGCCCACTTCCGAACACGACATTTATCACACCCGGAGGAAAACCTCGTAGGCAGCAGAGGAGGAAAATCACATAAACAGATGAAACTCCATGCTAATGTAGTATATTCCATTTAATTGGCAGCTCAGAAACATATACTTTTAATACAATACCATGATCCTAACTATTTTTAGAGTACGCAAGGGTTATATATGATGGATATTCTTTGCTTGTTATATGATATTTTTTCAATCTGTTGTCATATTTCATTACAATTGTGTTCAAAAACATGCTACCAATGGAATATTACATTGATCGCGTATTTGATACATAAGCCTTTGACTCATAGTGTTACCTACTTGTATCCTGAATCACCAATATGTATACTGCTGTAGTTATTTTACTGGAGTTATTTTTCAGGCATACCTGCTTTATTCAGAAGTTTGCACATCATCCAGGCTGTGACAGATGTCATTTCACTCGGTTTGGCAATTACAGTATTTCCACACATGACAGCAGGGGCAATTTTCCAGGTCAGTAAGTAAAGTGGCAAATTCCAAGGACTAATTAAACCAGCTTTCAAAAAGATAGGGAAAAGGAACAAATCTGCTTAAACAAGAAATTTGATACTTAGGAAATCTGTGATCCTCTTTTGATACCCAGTTAGATAACAGAGCAGGACAGCTCTATATAGGCTTCAGTAGTCTTTTGCTTTAGCACCCATTCTAAATACTAAACAATCTGCAAAGGAGATAAGTAAATGGAAATGTCGAATAATAACTACTGTTCAGGTTCTATAATGAGCTATTGGATCATTAGGCAGAGCAAGGCAGGCCATGCCCAGATAACAGGTTTGGCTCATTATTAAAAGTATAGTTCTTTGCCAATTAATTATATTCTAATTGAGCAACCTCATTATAATGGACTTACCCATGTTAGAGAAAAACACGGAAAATTTCAAGCTGTGCTTTATACTAGAGCCACAACCCACTATTGGGCTGTGGCCTAGTTGCAACCAGTGCACAGCCCTACTTGCTCGAGCGGCAGGCATTCGCACCCGCCACTCACACCAATGAATCTGTGTGCACATATGCCTGCCCCTCCTAACCCCTAACCCTCACACAAAAACCTTCCCCTCCCTACCCCCTCACACCGGGCCGCCAATCGGGAAAGATTGGGGAACACTGTACTAGAGAGCTACCAGGTTTGAGATATAAAAGTCTATGATCATTAAACTGCAGGGAAAAAAAGACACTGAAAAGTGAATGGTGACATCTAGTGGTCATCTGGATGCTTGCAGCCCTGAATTGTTTAAACTACAGGTAGTTCTAGGGTTATCACCATTAGGTCAGTGACCATTCAAAGTTACAGTATTGGACAAAGGAATTTACAACAGATACTTGGCGTTCTGGTTGTTGTAGCATCCCTACAGTCACATGATCATGATCTGGGTGCTTTGGCACCCGGCTCATGATTACAGCATTTCAAAGAGATGCAGTCATGTGATTGCAATTTCCCATATTCCCTGCTGGCTTCCCACAAGCAAAGTCACTGGGGAAGCCAGCAGAAAGTTGGAATTGTGATCACATGATGTCCTCACTACAGACTACATAAGTCTTTAAATGGCATGCCAAGGACTATATTCCTCAAACTAGTGAATAAAGCTAGAACAAAACCTAATTTCCTATGATTATGCAGCAGTCATATATTTAATATTTCCCCCTTTTATTACATTAAAAATCATAATTTGGTAACAACTCTGGGGAACGATACCTGTATTTTGTTGGCCAAATGCAACCGAGTATCTCTGCTTTATAGTTCAAAACGAGAAATTTTTTTTAGTTCCAACAACTGTATATAAAATGGCAATATGCTAAAGCTAAATTTACTAACATTATACTAGTCCTAAAAAGATTATTTTTCTTTTTTTGAAAAACCATCTGCAGATCTTTGACAAAGACTTACCAATTCCCACTGGTGACCTTTCAGTATAATGCATGCAGCCCATGTGATCCATCTGTGTACATTCTGTTGTCTCATGAAGGATAGATGATGAAAAAAAGCGAAAATTGTATATTGCTCGGGGTATGTCCACTGTTCTGGCAAAAGTAATGTTTTTTCCTGGAACAGAAGGATATTTACCAAATAGTTTTATACTTGAAGATATTGCTGCAATGCTTTTGAAATGTACAAATTGTTCCAATAGGTTTCATGTTCTAAATAGTTTTTGCAAGAACAGTTTTTATGCAAATGAAACTTGTCCAGTTATTAAGCAGTGGAGGGGAGAAGACAATTAAATATTCAAAATAAAACTTCAAAAACACAAGAAAGCAAGAGGAAATTAAAGGATTATGGGCAAATCCATATAAATCTCTCTGGCCACATTTGACCATGAGAGTACATCTTTACATCAATACAGACAAGGAGATCCATCCCTAAAATAACTTTTGTCCATGCAGAAATTTAATTATGAAGAATCTATGCTGGGCTAAGTTTATTGGTACAATTATTCCCAGCATATTGTATCTGTCTGAGGTTGCATTAAATATAAGGAGCTCAACAAAAAGAAGCGATAATTGTAACCCAGCACCTGAATACATAGCTAAAGACACAATGACTCAAATCCAGATAAATCAATAAATAAGAAGGAAAGTGGTTTTGTTTTTATCTTTAAATGTGAATGTGAGAAAGCCAAATTCCAATTTGTCCATTCAGACAAGGAATAGGCAAGTTATATTGTTCATCTAGAGCAGGGGTGTCAAACTGCTGGCCCACGGGCCAGTTTCATCATACGGAAGCCGTGCCCACCCCATTGCCGGCAATGGAAAAAAAGTCGTGATACGTCGTGATACGTGATGTGGCGATTTTGATACCCCTGATCTAAAGTCAGTGAAAACTAGATGGAATTCAACAAATCTAGATGGTCACATATTTTAAAGGATGGGCAATATGTAGCTACCTAGATTTGTTGTACTGCATCTAGTTTTCATTAACCCTAGATGAACAACACAACTTGCCTATTCCTTGTTTGAATGGACAAACTGGAATTTGGCTTTTTCTCACATTCACATTTAAAAATAAAAACAAAACCACTTTCCCTCTTATTTACAAAGCCAATTGAGAATTTTAGTTATATTCTTACAGAAAGAACAATTGACAAAATGGCTGTAACTACAGACAGCACTAGAGATTGGATATATGCAGGGCTTTTTTTTGTCATACAACGCCCAGAATGGAGTTCCGGCACCTTTTTTGAATGGAACCTTGTAGGGTAGGCAAGGTGGGTTGTATGACGTGTGTGAGTTCTGGCACCTTTTTTTTTTTTTTTTACAAAAAAAGCACTGGATATATGTCACTAGCAAGAAATGTATCCTTAATTTCTTAAAAGCATTGCCTTTGTCTTGAAACTGAATATGGAATTAATGTGGGGTGTGCCTCAGTATAATGGACTCTTGGTCCTATAGGCATTGGTGCTGAGAGTTGCTATTATTTTCTTAACCCACTATCACTAGGGGCAGAAATCAACAGGTTTTCTCCTTTACCTTGATCTTTTGACTCTGCTTGCGCAAATGACTCCAGATTTTCTTCAATAAGATCTGCTAGCTTGCTCATTATTTTTGACCTTTCCTGTGGACTTTTGGCAGACCAACCTGGGAAAGCATTTTGGGCAGCTGTGACAGCAGCTTCCACCTTAAAAATGCAATAGATAAACACATGTTTGCATGAGCAAAAGCCTGCATGATACTAGATATTAACAGAAACTAAGAGAAAGCAGAAAATACAGCTTTCTTGGAGGCCAAAGTTCAGATCCAGAGCAGACCTAGGGAAGGCTGCTATGTCCTGGGTTAGGTAAAAATCAATAATCCTTAGTTATAAGCTGAAAGGATTTTTGTCATCCTATCAATTGCAATACAGAATAATGTCTATCTCCTAGGCAAGCTTGATCTAGTCCAGTGATGGCAAATCTTTGAGCTCGGCATCTCAAAAATTTGGAAAATACTGAACTGAACCCTGATGACATGTCACACTCCTCTCCAAACAACAGAAACAATTCTGTCTCCCCTCATCTAGACCATACTGAACAACAGAGCTCAGTGACAGCACAACGGTTGAGCCTGAAGTAAAGGCCTGAGCTTCGACTATAGCGCTAGCACCACGGCTGCCACTCAAAAAAGCCGTGTCACTCCATTCCCCAAGGCGTGATTGCTTCCCACAGTCCAGTGCTGCCATGAATTGCTAACTTTCAGGTGGTGCTCTCTTTTTGTTGACAGGTTCCCTGCCATCTACCTGAAGTTGCTCCAGGTCACACAAGGCCTTTATTCTTGAAGCAGCCTCTGAAGCCTCCAAAAATCATACGAAAGCATGCCCTGTTCTCACATGTTTTTTGGAGAATCCAAAGGCCAAGACCCTCTCGCACAACTTCCAGAGCATCAGCAGACCATGAGAGACATACCCCATTCCATGCGGCCTCCACAACCTCCAAAAATGAGAGTGGGTTATGCTTTCCAAGAATAGTTGGAGGGCGTTGGTTAACACTGGTGTGTCACCCAAAATGTGGTGATGTGTCACCTTTGACATATGTCAGAGATTCGTCATCACTGATCTAGACATATGACTATTAAAGGTAGAAACTGAACAGCTCTATTCAAGTTATGCCAAATATATTTGAATTAGAAGGGTAAGGCATCCCAATTGATAAATAGGCACATGTATTTGTATATGTTTTAATTATCCTGTCAAGCAGTGGTGGGATTCAGCCAGTTCGTATCACTTCGGCAGAACCGGTAGCTAATTTTTTGTTGCCCTGGCCCAGAATGGACTTCTGGAAGCGGCATCCACACAGAGAACCAGTTGTTCACATATTTGAATCCCACCACTGCCTTTAAGGATCATTTTAGTTCTCTTGGTATTTTTTACTTGCTTACTTTCCAATTTAACATTCAGAATTACAGCCACTAGGCAGCACTGTTGAGCTGTTACTCCTGCAGAACTCTGCAGAATTGTCACAATGTCTTTCATTTTAAGCAGTGCCATAGTATTAGACTTGTATTTTCAAACTAACCAGTAACCGAAATTTTCTGTGCAGTGTATAGTAGCATTCCATGTGCTACGCCTGCTTGCACATGCCCTTCCCCAAAGCTGATCTAAAATTTGCTATCAAAGGCTATCTAAGACAAGAAAAATATACATACCATTAATTTAATTATAATAAATCAATTTAATTCGTTATTTAACTGAATTCAAAATTAATTCAAATTTTATGCTTGAACTGGTTCTCCTGATCCTGCCTTTGATATGTGATTCAAAGTTTAAATATAGTGCTGAGGGTGAAACATACTGGATACTACAAGAAGCCTAAAATCAAACTTCCTGCTTTCTTGTCCTGCTGACCACTATATCAAGATCATTCTCGAAACATTTTTTTTCTGTTATCTAATATACAATCCATTTTGTTTACCTACAAAAATAAGTTATAAGAGAGCAAAGCTCCACAGTGTAAGTTTAGAAAAAACTGCTAGTTATACTTCAACCACTAGTTACGTATCCTTAAGCAAACATTTGATTGACTGGAACTGAATGCTAAAGGTCAAAGTTAAAGTTGTAAAAGGGTAGAATAGTAATATTATATTTCCAACCTCAGTCATTAGATCATACAATTATTATTTTGATTGGGCCTTTTAAAAGAAGTAAGCAGCCAATAAGGAAAGCTATGAATATTTTTTTCTTTTCATTTTGCCTTGACGTTTGACACAATTCCCATTCCGGCACATATTAGACACTTCAAAGGAAATAGTGTTGAACTTTGAACTGCTGATCTGGAGCTATAGCTGCTGACACAACCCTGTGCTATTATACTGAAATACAGGCAAAAATGTAATTCAATATAATATTAAAACTAGCCAATATTTGAGGACTATTATGTTCACAATTATTACAAACAATTCATGCATATATATTTTTTTTTACAACTCCACAAAAGCATGAAAAGGTTGAATATAAATTTCTGTAGGAACTCACCTCTTCCCTGCCGCTATCTGGTACTTTGCAATATACTTGGCCAATAGATGGGTCATAAGAATCTAGATATGAGGAACATGGTACAAACTGGCCACCGATATAATTCTCCAAAATCAAGTGAGCCTGAGAGGTGGACATTGCAACTGTTTGCACTGTCCAAGCACTGTTAACTAAGTTTGTGATTTACAGAGCATACTTCTTTATTTGCCAGCTTCAACTCCTCCTCTTTTGGCAATAATTCCTTGGCTGGATCAAAAAATGACATGCATCCACAGCCTAAGCCAAATGAACTATAATTATACACATCCCAGAAACAATTTCATCAATAAAGTTTATATGCTTTATAAAAATGGCATTATAATAATAATAAAGTTGGAAGGGACCTTGGAGGTCATCTAGTCCAACCCCCTGCTCAGGCAGGAAACCCTATACCATTTCGGACAAATGGCTGTCCAGTCTCTTCTTAAAAACTTCCAGTGTTGGAGCATTCACCGCTTCTGGAGGCAGGTTGTTCCACTGGTTAATTTTTATCAGGAAGTTTCTCCTTAGTTCTAGGTTGCTTCTGTCTTTGATTAGTTTCCATCCGCTGCTTCTTGTCCTGTCTTCAGGCGCTTTGGAAAATAGCTTGACTCCCTCTTCTTTGTGGCAGCCCCTGAGATATTGGAAGACTGCTATCATGTCCCCCCTCGTCCTTCTCTTCATTAAACTAGACACACCCAATTCCAGCAACCGTTTCTCAAATGTTTTAGCCTCCAGTCTCCTAATCATCTTTCTTGCTCTTCTCTCTATTCTAGTCTCAACATCTTTTTTACATCGTGGTGACCAAAACTGGATGCAGTATTCCAAATGTGGCCTTACCAAGGCATTATAATCACTTTGGATTCATCATCATATTTATGAGTGTTCTGGGGGGGATTCTACTTCAACCTTAACGCTGGCAGTAATTTTGAGTATTTATTTCCGTTTTAGTATGTTTGCTTATTGTACTGTAACACATGATGCAGAGTGGGTAAAACTATACTGTACCCAGGGGGAATTGGATTAGATTGTTGTTGTTTTTTAATTCCTTCCAAGCATTTCTAGGGGGAAAAATGCCATTTATCAATGAGGTGTGGAAAAAAAATGAGGTGTCAATAGCAATCTAGTTCAAGGCAGACATATACTGTATTTAGAACCGCTGATTATAGTACATGTAGTATGATTTCCAATTTCCAATATTTATTCATTATTCCTGTTTTCTCCCTCCCTCATATGTACTCACAGATGTACTGTACATACACATATTACTGAAATGAAGAAAGCTTTAAGTAACAGTTAATATATTTTTATGCAGAAGGACTACATACTTCATTCAATTCCGATACTCATATAAAATTATACTTTATAAAGTTATTTGTTTTGACATGGGTTTGGCGAGTTGCAATAGCAGCTTTATATTTAAATACAACGATTACAGAACTCATGTAGAGGGTATGTTTTGTTCCATCAGAACCAACTCTTTTTGTCAGGATTTTAATTTATAAAAGACCATGTAAAAAGCCAAAATTATTATGCTCAGATGACTACTTTATTATACTTCTACAATTTAAAAAATAAAATTAATCATTATTGGACAAGCTATATCTACTTAATTTTTTAAATAAAGTTAGGATGGAAAGAAATTAGGTTGTAGGTGCAGCGTTACATAATGTTTTCTGAAACAGAAGGAAACAGGATTCTTTGAAAACATAGTTGTATAAAACTTCGAATATTTTAGCTCAGTTGATGTGTAATTTATAAAATACCATGCAGCAAAGAATCAGCTCTCCCTATATATTGTAAACAAACTTTAAGGCTGGAAGTAACTTTTTTCCCCATGATGAATCACCACCTTTTAATACATTATTCCAATCAGTTTTTGAATTATTGATGGGATGACATTTTAGTTTGGGAATATGCTGAAACTTGTGCAGTTAGAAAGTGCAATGAGTATTTCCTTGCTGGCAAATTGTTCTACAGCAACAATGGCCTTGAAATGTTTGCAGAGTACCCAATACATAATTGCCAATACATAATTGTCTTTGTTCCTTCAACAGATACAAATGGATTCCTCGGAGAAGTATATTTGAGCGTATGATTTCATTTGGCTGGATTGCAGATGTCCTGGCACACTATCACTCCTTAATCTAAAATAAAACAGAAATATCATTTTAAAAAACCCTCTATTATACTTTGAGAAGAGATTTTTTCCCCCAAAAAAATATACAAGCTTGCAGTGTTAATCTGCAATGTTGTATTAAGTGCAGAGGGGACACTGGTCCTTACAGCTGTTCAGGCATATGCAGAAATGCAATATTAGACTTTTGGATTCCAGTTTTGTCTCACCAAGCCTATCAATCAAAGTTCAATATTTTAAAATTAAATATCAATGCACATATAGACATGCGTAAAATCTAGGCCCCAGTCCAAAATGATAATCAGATCACAGGGTATATTTTCCTTGGGTAAGTTCAAAGAAATGAGGAGGTGATAAGCCACCTGGGAAAGCCAAGAGAAATCATCAAAACAATTAAAAAACGAAAATTAGAATATTTCGGACATGTGATGCGATACCCAGAAAAATACGGCATACTCCATTTAATCCTCCAGGGAAAGATTGAAGGCAAACGAGGTCCAGGCAGAAGAACATCGTGGCTTCAAAATCTAAGGGACTGGTTTGGACAAAACTCAGCAGCACTTTTTCGTGCGGCTGCTGATAAAAACAGGATCGCCAACATGATCGCCAACGTCCGATAATGGATATGGCACAAGAAGAAGTTCAAAGAAAGATCTAGATCAGGAGTGTATACCCATTGCATGCATTTTTCTAGGGAGAGGGTTTACATTCCTCTTTCTGCATAAAATGGTCCTGATTCAAATTAAGAGCCATATATACTTACATTAAAATAAATTTAAAAATAGAGACAGTGAAGCACAAAATATATCTAATCACGCCTCTGCATCCTGAGAGAGACAACCCAATTTTGCAAACAGATACATAGCTAAAGGGAGGTGGATTGATCCAATCTAATCTACAGATTAAAATCTTGCAAAAAGCAGATGCAATGCTAGGTAACCAATCCCTACTTATAAACCAGCTTAGGGAAATATCAGGCTTGAGAAAAAAGGAAGATGACAAAACAGAAGAGTACCTCTCTTCTTTATCTTTACTAGATAAATTTTGGGAACTACAATGTTATTATTTCTATAGTGTTTATATTTTATTAAAAAGAAATGTATATTTAATTAAAAATGTTTAACAACATGTCCTCACACTAACTATATTAACATTGTCAGATCTGGGTTACTCAAATGTTAATAGTGTACATATGTTTATTTTTTTAAAAAAAATGGTTAACAAGAGACAGAGACCATGATTTCATAATTAGCATTTATAAAAGCATTCACAAAAACGTTGTACCTCCACAACTACTCCTGCTGCTATAGTGGATCCTCCATAGCGCAACATAAATCTTCCAAGTTCTTTAAAGTCTTTATAAAGCTCCAAAGCAATAGGCCTTTGGGTCTGTAGTTCTATTAAAGCATTCTGCCCTTTTGTCAGACACCTACAAGGAAAGGGAAACTTGTTAGTATTTATTAGAATTATATTACTGTGAAAGGCCATCCGATTCCATATGCTTGTGTTTTCAGATATACAGAACGGAAGATTTAGTATCGTTTTCACCTGCAAAGAATTATCATTTCCCTCTCTGAAATAGCTAGGAACTGCAAAATCTGGTGATATTTTTATGATTCTTTCTCATTTCAAGCATATTTTTCCCAGAAATCTACACACCAAGGAATACATAAGCTAGAAGCAGCCAAAGCATAATCATAATATACCATCTCTAAATCTTATCAAATCATGTCTCACTTTGAAATCAGAGTCTGTGACAATGTACTATTTATAATTTACTTGTATAGCCACACCCTTTCAATAATTCAGAAAAGGCAGTCTGCCAATATACCTTATACTTTAGCATTACACTTATCAATACAAATAAAATACTCTGTAGGCATTAATGTAACAGTAATTATTTAACATACAGCATGGTTACTGGTTTTACATTCAATTTCTACCAGTTTTAATTAATTCATAATTTCAATTTTCAAAAGATTTTAAACTATATTAATGACATTGATATTTGTACAGTAACAAATTACCTTAACATACTTACTTAGGTTTTTTCTTGGCAACTTCACCAGTACTCTTATGAAGCACACTCAATAATTTTCTAATAGTAGCAGGCTCACTTACAGTTTGAAAATATAAGAGCACCTAAAATAAAATTGCATTTTAATTCACATTCTTTAACCATTGTCAACAATTGACAAAATACAGCTTTTCCTGAAAAAAAAAAGTTCTTGAATACAAAATAAAAAGACATGAGGAGATTTTGCCTTAATCCTGATCATTCTACATTTTTATTTTATTGTACAATATAAAATTATGCTTCCCTATTTTCTCAATTATCAGTACTCTGAAATTCCTCTGAATTATTGTAATACAGGTAGTCCTCAACTTACAACCATTCCATCAGCGAATACAGTTAAGATGGCACTGAACAAATGATGGTTATGACCAGGTCCTTAAGAGTTCTGGCAATCCCAGCACACCTTCAGTCACATGATTGCCTTCTGGGTGCTTGGCAGCAAGCTTGCATTTATGACCAGCTGCAGCACCCTGCCATCACGCGGTCGTCATTCGTGACTTTTTCTGCTAGCTTCCTCTGAAAGTCATTGAGGAAACTAGCAAGTCACTGAGGTAAATCTCCCGATCCATCCATCCTCCCTCAGCCCTTCAAGACTCATGTCACATCATTCACTTGTGCATCTCTGCACAAACACCCTGAGCCTCGCCAGGGCTTCCCCACTATTCATATACCCATGTGTACCTCCGAGCCTCACTGTGCCTCGCACACACACCTATGCCCCTTTGTGTACTCTTCCCAAGCCTCATCCTACCTCTCACACCCCCTTCCTGACCCTCAAATCTCCTTCATACCCTTGGGCACATTCTTGAACCCTCCTTCACCTCCCTCACACTTGTATGCATCCCCTTGCATCTTTGTACATCCTTCGCACATTCTCCCTGATGCCTTCCCACCTGCCTTGCTGTGCCTCCACATCCTCCTAAGCCTCGTTGCACCTCACTCTCATCCTCACACCTATTCCCCTCCCTCTCTCACTCTCATTATGCCTCCCTCACACAAAACCTCCCCAAGCCTCCCTCATAACTTCAAATACCCCCTCCTGCCCGCCCCCACCACTGGTAGCAACCACTTACT